TTTCGTCAAGGTTCTGAAAGAGGCGAATAATAAGAATTATCAGAGAATCTCTGAAGGACACTCTCACTAAATATACAATGCGAAAGGCCACGTCACTGGTGTCTCGTTTAACCGTTGGATGGACTTGAGACGCGAGAATGGACGGTTTACGATCTTTTTATGATCGTTGACTTGGGAATTCACACTCTATATGATTGCATTTTATTTTTTAAATATTCAGAAATGTATACCATTATAAAAAAAAATGGAGGTATTGTAAAAGGTTACAGCTAAAGACCAACGTGAGAACATTCGAATAATTGGCTTTTCGTCTAAAGATGGGGAATATTTCTTTATCCAGAAAATTAGTAATTTAGAACTACACATCTTTACACCAAAATTACAAGAAAATAAGTTTGCTTTCAACTTTGAATTAATAAAGTTATGACTGGTAAATAGTTATGCTAAGTTTTGAAACTAAACATTTTTGGTATTATTACTACTACGTTTTGATTGGCTCGTGTCTGGCATAAGCCAAGTACGATTTCTCCTCTGAGTATCTCCTATTGCATGAAAATAAATAATAGTATTATTTAAATGTTTATTTGCCCAGGAAATAAATCGTTTTAAGTCCTAATAAATTAAAGTCAACCAAGAAATATGTCAAAAAAAAAAAAACGCCAACGAGGAAAAACGTAGGGTAAGTAGGCTCTTCTTAAGCTATGAAGGACAAGGCAATTTAAGTCCCAAGCACAATGCCAAGAGACAAGTCCCCTCCCAAAGAAAACAAATGATAAGAAGATGGCTTCTCATTTTGACTCTTCTAAGTCCTCAATAACAATGTGAAGGCCACAACTTTAGGGTCCTGAAAAGCTCCCTAGTCTCTGATTCATCTTTAAGACTCAAACCAATCGGTTTCTGTAGACTACAACAAAGAAATCATTGTTATCTGCGTAAAGAGAGATGTGATTAGGATGGTGGCTGCCATGTCCCAGGCCTAAACGATGATCCAGACCCTGATGGCTCTGTTGTCCTGCATCAACAACATCATTAGTTTGGATTTAAGCATATCAAACAGTCAAACACAATACATTAGTTCATGCTCATAGAGAACATATTCAGCTTAGTAGTGGTTTGTAACAATCAGAATGAACATTCATATCCATGAGTATGAATGTGTAGATTAGGATTATAAACATAACACAGCTAGACTTACTTTGGTTCAGGTGATTCTGCATTAACTATCTCGGGTTCATGTTCCTTGACCCTATAAAAAGCAATGTGAGGGGAATTACTTATTATGTTCTTGTGACAGATGCTGGGTTTGTAAGAAGTTTTAACACATGATACGGATATATCATTAATCATGATGATTCACCTTGATTCATCTGATTCTTCACTACCTTCCTCTGGTTTATCACCTTAACGCATTAACAACCCAACAAAACCATCAGTCTGACTTCCACAGTTATGGAAGAATAAGAAGATCTTTACGATTATAGGAAAACTAGCAACTGTAGTAACCACAGCCCTTGCATCAACAAATTACACAAGGTGAACAATTCTTATTGCCCTTCTAAGCTGCCACGATCATAGTGTACATACAGGAAACTCTTTTACGATCACAACTTCATCATAATCACAGATTTCACAAAGCAAATGCAATAGCTACACATAGAAAAGCTGAACAAGAATAAACAAATTCCCTCAGAGGCATTCCTTATCAGACAAATAGTTGTCATTCCAAAGAAACTTTATCAAGACAAATTTAGCTCTAATGCAATGAAGTGTATGAACACCATTTGTTGGGTCAAACACCAAAAAATATATATGACTGTGCATAACAATCTTTGTCAGATTATATAAGGGAATTTTATCAAACGGCAGAAAACAAAAGCTAAGAAGTTAGTTAGTCCTCCTCAGCAGTCTACGGTAACTCGCTTAATKAATTGAATGGAGAGAAATTGTAATACCTTTTGAATCCGCTGGAAAATGGCGAACAAAGCTTGTCAAATCTGGACCATCAACTTTACCTACACAGAAAGAGAGCCAACATTAAGCGGCCGCTTCATACATGGTACAAATTTTATGGGCACTAAATGTTACTTACCGATGGTCACGATTTTGCGCCCAGTGCCTACTCTGGCTTTCTTCTCCTCCTCTTCTTTCTTGAGAACTTGACAAGGAATTGAGGCAAAATAAAAATGATAAATGTAATGCATAGAATTTGAAGAGACATAAGACACGGACAAAGGATAAGAATTTCTTAGACTTGCTAATACACAGATGCAAAAAAATAACATTTGACTTTGTTCATTCAAAACTTTTAGGCTCCATAAATCAAGCCATCAAAGTCATAAACGGTTTGCAGCAAGGATCAATAGAGGCCAGGAAAAATGAATGTTGAGACATTTAAAAGGATAGAAAATATCTGCAAAATTTATTAAAAATCTGAAACACCTACGAGCAACATTAAGCTTCACACGTTCACGCCTTGCTTCAAGTTCAGCCATTTCCTGCACCAGTAAGAAACACCAACATCAAAGACCCGATACTAATGTCATGTATAGCCAGTCTATATGCAATGAAAACCTCGACTGAAAGAACACTGTGCTGACCCCAAATAATTCTGGTTAATGAGAAGTTTATCTTACCTCTGGAGAAGGAGCCCTTTTTCGCTGCCCATTCAGCCAACTAATCCATTCAACTACAACATTGATGAACAAAAAAAGTGTCACTAGATTGGTCAATACTACAGATTGGCTTTTATGTTTCAAATCTGACACCACTGCTTTGTTTAAGCAAAGAATCCGGTTCTAACTATCTTCAAACAAGCAAATGAACATAATGAACCCACCAAACAAACCATTTTATAAGCACTTGTCAAGAGTTACCAGGAATAGAAGTTGGATCCTCCTCTCGTCTAAAGATAACCCATCTTTTCTCCTTCACTGGAATTTTGAAAGAATCACATCAGAACATCTTACTGCACAAATTGATTCCACCAAAGTCTAATTTAATCGTTACGAGCTTATAAATAAGTTCTGCTAGTTTCATTTGGGTATTACACCCAGTCCTCATTACACAGACCACACGTAAATGAATCGTCATGAATAAATAAAGAGAGACACACAGTTCTCAGTCGCTGATTTATTAAGCGAATTCCAAGGGTTACTACGAAAACAATCGAAACAAAGACAAGCTGATTCATCTAATCGAACGGGGAAACAAAACGAAGAACATCAGCAATTTGACAAAAGAAGGAAGAATTTGGATGCCTAAATCTCACGACAGAAATCCTTAGAACCCTAAATTGAAAAAAAAAAACAAATGAATTGAAGGTGAGAGATTCGAAGAACAATACTCGCCCAGTCCGTCAATCTCCTCCATTCTGGAAAAATACTTGTTACCAGTCTTGTCTACTCCGATGAAACTCTTGCTACTGAACAACCCTGCAAATCTTGCCCATAGCCTCGACATAGCTTTTTCTCCCGCCGATTTCTTCTAAACTCACAACACGTCCCAAAATTCTTCCCCGATCGGGTCTGCTCCGTCTTGATAAAAAAATCCGGGTTCGGGTTAGGATATAAAGATCCGACCCAACTACAGATATTTTCCAAGTTAGAC